CAGCTGCCCGCGGCTCGACCCCCGGAGCTGCGCGCCCGGGAGCTCCCAGCTACCTACATGGGAAGAAAGAGGAGAGATTTGGAGTGCGGTGGCAGGAGATATAGGGGAAAGGGGTCCGTGGGGGGGAGGAGGAGGAGGAGGAGGAAGAAGGTGGTCCACTGTCAGCTGTCTTTATGAAAGGACAGTGCAGGCGACCTGTGAGAGAAAGACAGACAGACGGACGGACGGAGAGAGAGAGAGAGCAAAGAGATGGGTCAGTCCCTGCTCGGTGCAGTCATGGCGGGGCTGGAGCACCAGGGCACCGGGATGGGAGCACAGCAGGGTGGAAGGCAGCATGGTGGGAGAATGGCAGGACAAGAGGATGGAAAGGCAGCAGGACAGAAGGATGTGAGGCAGCACTGCCTGGCCAGGTGGGGTGAGAGGCCAGGACACGGCCGTGGGACCAACTATCTGCTCAGCCACAGCACAGCCCCACAGCGTGAATCCACGGCACAACCCACGGCATGGCCAGAACACACAGCCCACGGCACGACCCACGGCACAACCCCACAGCAGTGCCCCGAGGCACAGCACCACGGCACAACCCCACAGCACATCCCCACGGCACAGCCCATGGCACAACCCATGGCACACCACACAAGAACACACATCACAGGCTCCCTCCCAGCACAGCCCCACGGCACAGCCCCCCAGCACAGCACCATGACACGGCCCCATGGCTGGAGGCACCCACCAGGACAGACAGTCCTTCCCTAGATTCACAAAAAGAGTCCCAGCACTGGGCCCCAGGCTATGGGGCAGCCCAGCTTCTCCATGGGGCACTCCTTGCCAGCTGGCAGCACGCTGAGCACCCCACATCTGCCTCACTCTCTCCTGCCTCTTTCAGCTGTCACCATGGGATGTATTCCCAAGCCATCCCTGGACCTCCAGTTGCCCACCCTTATGGACCGACCACGCTGCCAACTTGGCTGCGGGCACAGTGCTATGACAGGGGAGTGGACAACACCCAACAGGAAGCAGGGTGAGCCCCATTTTGCTGAAGACAACCTGACATCCAGCCTCTGAGAAGCTGCCCCAGCTGCAGGGGCCACGTGAGGTGCAGTGGCAGTGGCGGTGATGGTGGCAGTGATGGTGGCACAGCAGAGCAGGATGTCCCCTGCCATCCTCATACCCTTGCCACCCAGAACCACAGTGCCAGTGATGGCAGAGGCTACATCCCCTCCCCACGTTGCATCCCTGGTCTTTCCACATCCCACTGCAACCCGTTGAGCTGACTGCACTCACCTGGGCCCTGGTCTCCTGGTGCCCACCCCTGTGCCCACAGCCCCCCTGCAGCCCCTCACCTGTCCTGTGGCTGCCTGGTGAGACAGCATCGCTGCTGCCTGATGCCACCCGCTCCTGCTGCTTGAAGAAGTCCCGGGGGTTGTCAGGCCGCTGAGCGATGATGGCAGCAGCCTCCTGTGGGGATGGGCGAGGCTGAGCCTCACCACCCCAGTGGCCTGGGGCTGTGGGGCCACCCTCCATGCGACCCACAGCTTCATTCCCAGCTAGCTGTGGGCACTGCTGGATGGGGAGTGAGGATCAGTGCTGGGCACGGCCATCAACGCACTCACCTCCACCTCTGACTCCGATTTCCTAAACTGCTGCCTGTCGTCCTCATCTTGCTGGTCCCCCTGGCAAGAGACACAGCATCACCTCCCAGCCCCGGGCACCCAGCTGGGGAAAGCCCTTCCCTGGGGGTAATGCCAGTGGCAGCCCCAGCTCCGATCCTGGCCCCAGTCCCGCCGTGGCGCTTACGAAGATGGACTGCTCCTTCAGGCGCTGCCGGGCCTCCTCCGCCTCCAAGCTCTGCTGCTTCCGCCTGCAGCGGGGAAACGGGAGAGGCGCTGGGCATCGGCTCCTGCCCCAACCCCACCCTGGGGGGGACACCCCCGTGCCCACCCAGCCACTCACAACACGTGTGCAGCCATCCTGTACCCACGTCCCACCCGACCCCAGCCCTGCCTGTGCTCCTCGATCTGCTCCTCGCGCTCCCGGTAGCGCCGTTCCCGCTCCTCCTGCTCCAGCCGCTCCTGCTCCATCCGCTCCTGCTCGAACCGCAGCCGGGCATCCAGGGCCTTTTTCCGCTCTTCCTCCTTACGCAATTCCTCCTCTTTCTGGTGGGGAGGATGAATGAAGGGGCTGCCCAGCAGCTGCCCAGCAGCTCACCCCGCTCCCTGGGGACTATCACTGTCCCTCCATATCCCACCTTTGCCTGTTCCCAGAACTGCTCCCGGTTGAGCCGCTTCATCTCCACGGTGGCATCAGTTTTCTGGTAAGTGGTGCCCTGGGACGGAGGAGAGGCAGGGAGGGTGGAGGGGCTGGGATCAGCGAGGGGGGTAACAGTACAGCGGCACACGGGGTGAGGGGCTGCAGCAGACAGGAGCCCCGGGCGGGAGGGATGCCCCAATCCCGCCACCATCACCGGCGCTGCCATGGGGCCATTACCACGGGCTCGGCGTTCTCGTCCTCGCGCAGCCGCAGGCGGTGCAGCACCGGGCTGGAGACACGGGCCAGCCCGTTGGAGAGCCGCTGCCCGATGGCCCCTGGGTCAATGTCCTCCACGCTGCTGGCATTGACGATGACGTCGACACCCTGGGGGTGTGCAAGCAGCCATCAGGGTTCAGGATCAGTGCCCTGGCAACATCTTGCCCCTCCCCAGCGTCACCCACCTGGAAGAACTCGGCAATCTTGGCTACGTGGCTGGCACAGGCGCATTTGCGGGCGTCCGGCACGTCCTCACCCACCTGTGGCAGCCAGGGAGGGACTGAGCTGAGAGGGGCAGCAGGACTGTGGCCCACAGCCCCTGACCACTGCCAGCTCCCTCACACCCAGCCATATCCCTGTGGACACAGCACAGCACGGCCCCCAGACTCACCCAGTTGACGAGGACATATTTGGGGAGCACGGCCTGGGGGTCCTTGACGCTGCAGAAGCCATACATCACCTTCTGAATCTCAAAGTGGCCAGAAAGCTCCAGCAAACCTCCACCTGGCACAGCACCATCAGCCCACGTGCACCCAGCACCAGGAACGGGTGACAGGGGAAACACCGGCACAGGCGAGCCGGCGGAGGGGACAGAGGACCTTACCTCCCGACGCTGCCAGCTTCAGGTCATCAGAGCCATCCTCGTATGTGTAGAGGGCCCTGGGGAGATACCATGGGTGAGCCAAAGCCAGGAGGAGCGTGGGGCAGCCCCCAACCTCCTCGTCCTGTGTACACTGAGGTCAGGGCATGTCCTGGGGTCTGGCTGCTTGTCCCAAAACTAGCACACAGCCACAGCCACAACAAGCCCTTGTCCATCAATGGCACCAAGAGCCAGACTGCCAGGCAAGGCAGACACGATGTGGGGCAGGGCCTATTCCCCAACCCTTGGTGGCAGCTCTGGGGAAGGGTCCCAAGTTTGGGGACAGAAGAGTCACTTGGGCACAGGGACGCACTGACTGCCGTGCTGCAAGCCAACACAGTCTCACAGCAACTTGCTCGCCCATCCCTGTCCCCTCACAACCCTTCCCGCTACTGACCAGGTTTGGGGAGAACCCTGTGCCCCAGGAAGGACCTGGGTCCACTCACGTGCCCGGCTGCGTGAGCGACCAGCCCAGCAGGCACCAGGCTGGGGGAGGACGCCGGAGCACCAGCAGCAGCAGATCAATGAGCCGCCAGTGTGATGGGGCCGTCATGGAGACTGTTCCTTGGAAACCATTCCCAGCTGATGGGAAACCCCCTGTCGCTCCCACCATGCCCTGGCCAGCCCCTCTGGGGGCTCCGTGGGGACCCCCACCAGCCAGCACCTCCCCAGAGGCACACAGCCAGCAACAGAGGGGGGACCACGCATGCCAAATTGGTCCAGGGCGGGTGGGCGAGGGGATGGATGTCACTAGGCAACCAGCATCCTCCATCACCATGGCAACCCCCCCCATCCCAGCTGGGATGCAGCTCGCCCCGATGACGAGGTGATTAGTGGAGGGGAGCGGGGGAGGCAGGCAGGCAGTGGGGACCTGCGGGGCCTGGCAGGCACCCAAACCTCCCTGCCACCGTCACGCGCTGCACCCGGAAAGCCAGGGCCGCCCGTGCTGGATCCCCCACATCCCTGCACCGCCGCGGGTGGGCGGCCCTGCCGATCAGCATTCGGCTGGTGGTGCCCGCACGGCGCTTCCCAGAGCCCCAAAATCCCCGCTGTGCCGAGCAAAGCCGTCCTCACTCAAGCCTGCAGCTTCAATCCACAGCCTGGGGAACAGGAATCGAGCGTTCCTACGGGCAGATCCACCCCCAAAACAGGGCCACGGCTGGAACTAAAAAGCAGGGGGAAAGCAGGCAGGTGCCTAAGAGGAAGAGAGCCTCCCTCTGCCTCCAGCACCCGCCGCCCCCCGCGCCCCTGGCAGGGAGCCGCAGATAATTGCACCAACAAGATTGACTTTAATCCGCACATCCCGATCCCGCTAATCGGCCGCCCCAGCCGGCGCCAGCTTCCAGGCCTGGAACAGCTGCAAAGTGCCGTCTGAGATGGCTGTGACAGGGAAGGGTGGCAAATGCAGCCCCTGATCCCCCAGGAACGGGAGAGGACGGCAGCAGTTTGGGGGAGCCCAGGGCAGCGGGTTGGAAGCTGGCAGGGTGGGATACAGCTGGCAGCAGACAGGAGAAAAGAAGTAGGGCAGAGGCACGGCATCACTGCCTGGGGAGCTCTGTGGGTGCTGGGGGCACCCACTGCCTGCTTTTCTTCCCCAGAACCCTGCCGTGCTGGGTGGTATCTGAGCACAAGGCTGCTGCCTGAACCCAGGGGTGCTCCCAGGACAGATGGGGCTTGCTGTGGACAGAGCTCAGCAGCACAGCCTGACTCCACGCCAGGATGGAGGTTTCCATTCCAGGAGACAGGGAAGCCATGCTGGGGCCAGCAGCATCCCCAGGGGTGCCCCCAGGGACCCACAGCCCAACAGCATCGCCACAACCCCCAGCAGTGGGCACCAGCTGTGTCACAGTGGGTGCTGTCAGCACCATGCGTTGCTTACCTCGCTTCCATGGGCTTTAATCCCTCCACCCAACCCATACAGCCCTTTCCCACCCCCGGCCTCCAGGTATGTGGGTCACCCGTGGGTGGAGATGCCCCGAGCAGCCCGGGGGGGCTCCCTGCAGCCGTGGGGCTCCACTGAGGATGCCTCATCACCCCAACCAGAGACCGCAGCCCCGCTGCCCTCGCATGGCCCCGCCGCTCACCGGAGTGGGCAGAGCGGCATCCCCGGGTGCCAGAACGGGGCTCCCGCGGCAGCCCACCCCCCGTGCCATGGCCAGGGAGGGCTCACATCGCCCCAGCCTCCCGCCCCAGCCCCGGCACATGTGTTTCCAATGTGGCTGGGAGCTCCAGGGAGTCGGCGTGCTCAGAAAGCAGCACCAAATTCCTTTCCGATCGAGTAATGGGCCCCAGCAGCCTTCGCGGGGCCGGGCAGGGGGAGGGGATGCTCGGACCCTCCAGGACCGGGCTGGAGCAGGGGGAATCCCAGACTAAACAGAGGGATCCCAGCCGGGCAAGAGCGTATTATTCCCCGCTACCGGCCCAGGGCCAGGGTCTGGCACAGTGTCCTCCCAAGCAGTTCCCTGGCTCAGCCAGGCTGGGCCCTCCTCCCCGTGGGACTGTCCCCATCACCTTGCCCGATGCAGCCCCACCAGCATCACCCCTGATCCCTCAGCCCCGCAGCGGGCCCTGCGGAGGGGATGCTGCTCCCTCGGGCACGGAGTGCCAGGCACTCCGGTGACAATGGGATTGAGTGGCTGGGGACGACGGAGCGACTGGGGACGATGGAGCAAACTCAGCCCCGCGGATGGGGATGGCAGGGAATCACTGCCTGGCCGGGATCAGCGCTGGAGGTGTGTGAGGGGGAGCCGCCACCGGCACTCGCCTTCCCGGGAACCGATTCTGCTGCTCTCAGCAGCTTTGGCAGGGACGGCTCCTTGCAGCGGATGCCGGGAAGCGAGATGTACCCAGGGCTGACAGCTGCCGCCTGGCCGGCAACACACACGGCGCTTGCCCACAGCGCCCTTGGGCTGACAGCGGGACTGTGGGGCCCTCCGGAGACCCCCGGGGGGCTGCCGGCGACCTGGACCTGCCCAGGCCCACACAGCCCTGTCCTGAGAGCAGGGACCTGCTTAGACGTAGCCATCTGACCGGCTGGGCTGTGGGTGCAGCCCAGCTGGGAGGTGGGAGTCCCCGGATGGGTGGTGGGTGTATCCCGGAGGGGCGGTGGGTGCCCCTG